AGTTACTGTAATGTTGCGCTGCTTTATTTGGTTAATTGTCCAGTCTGTGAAGAAGGCATTCAGAATTGCATTGTAGTATGACTCATTTCCTGGTGCGTGCAATTTATATTAGGTCAGCGTTCACGGTTCGACTTCTGATATTCAGATTGAGTTCTAGGTCAAACTGGTTTGTTCGACTTTCAAGAAATTCGAGTTCTAGTGAGTTCGAGAACTGAGGTACCACTGTATTTCTGGATGTTACATATATACATATACATACCATGGGTGGAAAAATAATGGAGAGATTATATGCATCTTATAATTGGACAACTAGGAAACATGGATGTTATGCTATGCTTTCATGGGGCCCAGAATCTTTAGAATGCCCCAGATCAGGCAGATTCTACATATATCTTGTTTAAGCCACATGGGAACAAGAAGTTTTCAAGTGAAAATTGTAATTTTGTCAGAAAATTGTTGTATATTTAGGCTGCATTTCTCCTAGCCATATTTCTGTTATTCTTAACATCCCTAAGCGCTCAGCCATTTCCCAACTGCTTTCTCTCTGTGGCATGACCGGTTCAGTCACACGCCTGACTTTGTCCTGCCCAGCAGACCTCTGTTTCATTTCACCAAAAAAAGACACTGCTGAATCTATCAAGTGGTCATATGAAGCATTCTTTTACTGATCTAAACCAGGTTCTGTCTACTGTCCCGAGGACTACCAGACCACAAAAAAAATCCTTTCCTGCTTTTCTGTCTTTCTTTAAGTCCAAATCACGGTTATAGGCACCAACCTCTCACCTATTTTAGTGTCACATGACTGCACACCAGCCGAATCTCCTCTATCGCTGTCCCTCAGACTGCACAGTCTGCTTACCAAGCCTCATACACAACATCTCTCCTCTAGTTGTCTCACTAAATATGATCTATTCCTGTTGTCCTGCCAATATTACCCTAGCTGTTGACAGCTATTCTCAGCCCAGATATCACCCTGCACAATGTAGATCTCATTCTTTTCACAGAGGAGTCCTCTGCACTCTGCTTGGCACACTGCTCTCTGCTTATGCAATAGCTACAGTCTGATGTCACTGAGAGTGCTGCTTTACCTTCCAACATTTCTGCTCAAATTACTAAGCTGTATTCCCTTACTCATGAGTGTATCCTCTCCCATTCAGCTTTTCAGTGTTTCTGAAGGGTAACAACTAAGTTAACATCTTCAGCTACACTTAAAATAAACATAAAATAGAAGACCTTTATTGTCATTGCGCAGGTAGAAAGTACAATGAAACTTAAATTTTTGCTTATACCAACATGCTCTCCTATGAGAGATACACAAAAAGAAGAACAGGTGAGAGCAAAGCTTTGGGTCAGACATTGAGCATTTGGGATTAAGAGCCTTGCTGAAGGCCACAACAGGTAATAAAGATAAGATAATACTTTATTGATCCTGGGGGAAATTCTTTTGCATATAGCAGAAAGTACGTAAAATGCACGGATATACACTTTTCAAGAGCACCCTCTGGTAGTTGCAACACTGCACCACCTCCCACTGCTTTGCCCTGGATACTGACTGGTCTCGGGGGCTCCTTGTCACACTGGTAATCCAACACCAACTCTTTTGTCTTGCTAAAGCTGAGGTGCAGGTTCAAGACAAAGTCCTCCAGCACTTCAAGACAAAGTCCTCCACTAGTCCCCTACACTCTGACTCAGGACAAAGTTCCAGCAGGTGCCCTCGTATTGGTGTAGATGAGCTGCAGTACCTCCTCAGATGTCCTGCTGTCCATGATTTTAAAAAAACAATTACAAATAATTTATAAATTTATGATGCAAAACCACTGAGCTAATATACATAAAAACAAACAAACAAAAAACACGGGAGCTGTTGTAGCAGACAACTGTTCAGGGAAGTGCCGGAAGTTGACGAGGATTCTGCCAACCACTTGATTTGAACAAGCAGGGACACTTAACCCACAGAGAGATGTGAAAAGGCGGTCAAGCCAGCCAGGATAAGCCACATTAATTGAAAATATATGTCATTAAAGGTATGTCCTAATGGGCCCTATCTTGGACACGTGTCTCATGGGATGACACATGTGAGCAAACAGAGGGTGATTTCCACCATTAAGGGAGACTGGTTTACACCGGAATTGTTTTATAATAGCATCTTAAACATGTGATAGCGTGCTTAAGTAAACAGCCATCTCCTCCAAACAACGGGACATGTGGCTGCGACTGGCAGCTTTGGGATTTTCACACGTGGTGTGATTGTTGGTGCCAGCTGTGTTGGTTTCAGCATCACCCTCCTGGGATTTTAGTGCAGTGCAGTGTATAGAGTTTACAGAGAACTAACAAAAATACGTAGTGTGATGAACAAAAACATCTAATGAAAGGCATTTTTGTGGCCAGATTAGAATGGCAGACTCATTAAAGCAAATAGGTCAGTACGACTGTGGTGTACAGAAAGGTTTCTCGCAATGCACAACTTGTCTACCTTTCAAGCAATTCTGCAGACAAAAGTGAGTCCTAGCTAGGTGCACCTAATAAAGAGGCTGTTCGGGGAATTTCCATGTTTTCTGATGTGCAAATTGCCACAGTCACGGTCAGTGTACTGCAATCTCCTTGTACTTTTACACTATCAAATGAGTGCTCAAAAAGCATTAAATTATTCATCTGTATTCTTTTTTTAAAAATTCTGGCAATATTTTTGTTTGAACACTTTTCTACTTAATAAATTATAATAATAATAATCCATCTCCTTCCATATATTTGCAGGCCATTTATCCAGTGCAGGGCTGCTGGGAAGGCCTGGAGACAAGTACAGGCAGCACAGGGTGCAAGACTGAGGTACCGGTCCATCATAGGGCATACACCCGCTCACAATCACACACACAATGGGCCATTTACAGCTTTAAGTTCAACTGCATGTCTTTGTAACCAGGACTGGACACCAAATGACACACAAAAACCCATGTAGTAGGCAAGGAACACACACAGAAGAGGCAGGATCCAAACCTGAATCTTAACGGTATGAAGCAGCAGTGCTACCTACATGTCTAAATTGTAATTGTAATAAATTGTAATAGCTTTATTGTCATTGCACAGTGTACAACGAAATTTGCAGTGCATCGTGAATAATAAATATTTAATTCTTACGTTAAAAATTACTAAAATAAATACCTAAAAAATACTCTCACTTCCACACATGCACCCACTCACTAATAAACAAAAACACAACAGCAGCACTATTACACAAAGCCCCCATTCATCAGATACAGTGCCAAACTTCCGTTCTACTCAGTAAATGACAATAAATTAATAAGCAGTTGAAGATAAAACTATATAATACACCTGAACTATACTACAAATATAGCAGATTGTCCTGCTGTTTGTGCCAATTAATAAAGGATAATTAAAATGAGGCTGCCAAGTCTGCAATGGAGGACAAGACCAGGGAAATAAAATGAGGGCCACTAGATCTGCTTTTTACTTTTAAAGTTACCCCCTCCCCTTGAATTGTATTTGATTATTGAGTTAGTTAATGGTTTTAGTTGGATGCAAAATTCTGTTTCATTAATTGCACTTAAAAATTTTAGCTTAATATAGTGAATTTTCTGGTATTTAGTGTTATCTCGAGGAAAAAATTCTGTGAACAGTGCAGTAAGTTAAGGGGTAGGATACTTCGTCAGTGATTATCGCAGTTTCTCAGCAATTCTAATCAAAGGTGGATAGGTAAAACGATAAAACAACACCCACTGTACAGTGATACGTGTGGCTATATATGTCCTATATATCTGTATCTCAACAAGCAAACAATAGGTGATTCACAAAAAGAGCAGGTATTAATACATAATGAGTAGGTACAGCTCACCAGGCCCTGCCCCATTGCCCCAGGTTTTGTTTTCCAGCTCCCTCTGTTTTGTTGCTGTCTTTAGTTTGCCTCCTGTTAGACGCTGCTGTTCCAGTTGCAGTCATCATTCCCTAAACAGAACAACAAAGAGCATTATGGGAAATCTTCACAAGGAGCAACCAAGAAACAGAAAGCAGGCACAATCCTCAGATAATGCATGGCTCAAGGAGAAAGTGTACCTAATGGTTCTCATATTTCAGATGAAACCTATTCTTACTCATGTCACTATAAATTATTGGTCATAATGGAATGTTAAGGATTAAACGTTGCGATTGTTTTATATTTAAACTTTTGTCAAGCATTCCTCCATTTTCTAGATAGGGTGGTCTGAACCCTATCCCAGCTACTACAGGGCACATCTGAGGGGTAATTCACCTAATTGCGTCCTTTTTGGACTGCAGGAGAAAGGAATCAGACTGTACAAAACAGTCAACACACGAAGAACAGACGGAACATGCAAACCCCACACCCCACACTCGGAAGTGGAACACCTTCACTGAGCCATCATGACACCAAGGGTGCATTTTATCGATTATCAGCTAAATCAGTTAAATACCATGAGCATCAGTTTTAGCAGTCATAAAACCGTGGAGCATTACACTGCATAAATAACTGTGAAGACTGAACTTTGTACAGCTGTCTTACACAACTAACATGAATTATAAGCCAGGAGATGGTCAAGCCAAGGGGTGAGAGGTAATCTGCTCTGTCGTGCAGTCTTACAGGCTTCATTTACCAGTAACTACCCACTAACCAAGGCAAACCCTGGAAAATTCCTTGCAGCCGTTTCTAGGGCTGCACAATATTTGAAAAAAGCAAATCATATTTCAAATTTCGCGATAAATATTGGGACATTTATAAAGGAAAAGGGGAACTGAAAACGTACCCAAAATAAGCCATAGCCGTGCAAATACAACTTCTACCTTCTATAAAGCGACAAGGAAGTGTCGACAAATCACTATTGCTGAAAGGAATCCAAAATTTTTCCATACGGGGAAGACCATTGCCTTTTGGTAACCTGTTCTTGTTCGTTTTCCTGTTCCTCCCTTATTTTTGTGAAATTGCTCACAAACGCGCCACACGTCCTGTATACGAGTCAGACAGTAAGGGCAAAAGCAGTAGCGACACTGATTTATGCACATATACTAGATAATCTTGAAAAGGAACCATAATGAAAATTGCAAAGCTAAGTTTTGTTTACTATGCAGACTAAAAAATATTTTTGCAAAACTTAATGATGGTCTAGACCCAGTTCAATATAAAAATGCATAGCGTGCAAGCATCGATCCAACGTTTTACTCCGTTGACTTTTAGGATATATGTTTTCAGTGCTAGTACGGGGTCATGGTGAACTTGGTTTCTTATCCGAGACAGGATAAGGAAAGACGGTACATTGCATGGTGCACACTCACATACTACTTCACCAGACTTTCTAAAGGTACCCCGAGGAAACTCATGTAAAATCATGAGGAACACAAACACGCAGCAGTGAAGGAAGGAATTCAACCCGAACTCAGGAGTGTGAAGATGCAGTGCTAATTACTCAAACTACTGTATAGGAAAAGACTTTGGTATTTCTAACACTGTGCGATACTAATTATCTCGATGTAAAATATTTGGATCAGGAACATCTGTCTGTATGAACGCAAATCACATTTAGAGAATAAGCCAAAGGCGTTCAGAAATAAAAGTTTAACTGCATTATTCATATATTCCATCATTAAAAATCTTGCAAACAATAATACTTATTAACCTATACATTAGACTTCTGCCGTAATACTTCAATTCACCTCACATTGCTCATTGATCTGATCTGAATGTTAAGAACGTCAAAATGTTAAGAATGTCGAAAAAAATCGACAATAACATTTATTTATTTATTTGTGGTAGCAGATAGACGTAACGAGAATACTACACATATTTTTAAAAATGATAAATACTTACTTTCTTTTCCACTAAGGATCCTGTACATCTAAACAGATATATTGCTGAAAACGGAGCACACGCCCCACGCTCTTATGAATATGTTAATAAGCGTGTGCCGTTTATCCAATCGCAGACGCGTATCATTCACTTCGCGTTTGGATTGGACACCTACAGCCTGAAACCACGAACATCAGACATAAGCAGGGTTTATGGAGAGACTATTGGCGGCAGCCTTCACGCTCGTCCCTCCTTTGCATTATTTTATTTCTGGCCGACAGTAAACTGTAAGGGTACCGCCGAGGTACAAACTAGGCGGCATTACAATGCTTTCAAACTAAAGATCGAGGACAATCTATATAATTACCTCTTTAACCGATATAATATTGAAATTTTAGCGATGCATGTGAACACTTAGACATGTCTTCGGATTTTAGATTTCACCTATTCATAACGACTTTTCAATGTTATCGGACAGATCAGTGACCTGGTGTACTTCTGAACCGTTTGACATACCTATAAAACTCTGCAAACGTGCCCGTTTGATTCGTTAAAAATTATGGTATCACTCTTGTGAGGGGGCAAAAGCAACTCAATAATTCTAGTACAAATCATGAACAAATACAGCAACTGCATGAAATACAAGAACCGTTATGGATTATTAATGATGAACGAACATGGGACCAGTACGTAACTAACACTTCATTAATACATTAAATAACAGTGTGCTACTACATTATTTGTGCCCCTCTAGTAAAGTGTTACTAAAATGACAGCACGGTGCACTTCACATGAGGGAACACGAATAATGTTGTAGATGACGTCACAGCAGGCGGAAGTCGCTGCACTTGCATCCGCTGAGTGGCTGCGTTAGCGTCCGGGTGTCACGAAAACACATTTATAATGGGAAAGAGCTGTTGTGCGACTGGTTGTACAAATCGATTTAACAAGAAATCGGAGCTATCTTTTTATAGACTTCCGAAAAATAAAGAAAGAAGAAGCAAATGGATCGCTGCAATTGGCAGAAGCAACTGGAATCCAGGCTCTGAAACGTGGATTTGCGGTTTTCATTTCGCGTCAGGTATTATGAGTAAAATCGTACTTTAAGTTATATATTGTATTGACTAGTCATTAATTAAATATTTAACATCATTCATTTATGTTCTGTGTGAAGTTTTGTCAGCATTTATGTAAAAACATCCACGATGAGCCTTGTGTTCTACAAACAAAGTGGGCGAGGGGCGGTCGTTAGCCAAGACAAACCCAGTTTTCCTTATAAGGGGCAACTCTACAAAACAAGGTTAGATAGTTAGCCAGATCAGTTTGAAGGTTTCTACAAAATAAGTAATGATGAAGTCATGTATATTTCTTGTGTAATGATGTAAATAAATTAATATTACATTACTAATTAAAACATTTTGTTTGTTTCAGGGAAAAAGAGTGATGATCCCCTACACCCTGACTATGTGCCAAGTATATTCAGTTTCACGTCCCCCACTAATCAAACTCGGCCTGTCAACAACCTGAAAAAATATCAAGGATCCCAAGAGGTTTCTGGCAAAAGATTTGCCAACACAAGTAGAGAGCAAACAGCTGCAGGGGGTCTGAACCTGCATCAAAATCCTGCATCAGACGTGGAGGTACAGGCTGTTAAAGTTCAAGGCACTGGGGTCCAAACAGAGGAGACGCACAGTGACATCACTTCCTTACATGAACAGATTAAATCTTTAAACAGTGAATGTCAGTCACTGAGAGATATAGTTTACAAGTTAGAAAATGAGATAAAGTGTTGTACTCTTGACACATCAGAATTTGATGACAGCAAAATACATTTTTTCACAGGACTACCCAATTTACAGACTTTCATGTTATTGTTCAGTAATGTCTCATCAGTTCTTCCTGCACCTGCGAAACAGTCCCTTAAGCCTACTCAGGAGCTACTTCTTACACTGATGAAGCTGCGCTTCAGTCTGTCTGAGGGATTCTTAGGGCACCTCTTCGGGATTCATCAGTCCACAGTATCAAGAATCTTCCGCCGTTGGATGCATGTCACCACAAGCAAGCTTCAACAGTTAAAGGTCGAGACCGATTTGAAATAGTCGGAAATACCTGTCAGGTCACTGTGTTTAAAACGAAAAATCTTTGAAAAAATGTATGCGATTTTATCTCTATGAATATTGAGGATGATTTTAGTGGAAATGTGTATTATTTCGGCTTATTGAAAATTAACAAAAGTTCCGATCTCATGTATGTTTGAAAAATCTCATAATATTCATGGTTTTATATCCACAAATGCAAATTTCTCAATAGGACACCATGTTTTCTTTTAAGAAAGAAATGGAACATTATATATTTTCACTTGGGCCCTCTCTAAATAAAAAATGTAAGAAATTTATTTTAAATGTTTCTTCAGAACTGCATTTTGTACCCTATACCATGTGTGTTGTTTGCTATAAATATATTGTGCTGTTTATTAAATAAAGCTTGAAAAAGAAAATGAGAGTCTGTTAAAAGACCTACTAATGTTTGATATTGACGACCTGAAACCGCCTTGCGTAGTTATTTGTAAAAAATTAACGCATGCGTGGAACCGATCGGGCAGTGTCGTAAGAGAGGTGGAATGCTGCGCGTGCTTCCGGGCGTGGATCGGGCACCGACGCCACAGCCGCTGAGGTTGTCCTGCTTGAGGTTGCAAACTCTGCACGGATCAGTTAATTGTCGTTAAATTAGCGCAATGGGACGTAAAGTTACGTTAGCCACATGCACACTTAACCAGTGGGCTTTAGATTTCGACGGAAATTTCAAGCGGATATTGGAAAGTAAGTCATTATAAACTGTTCACATTGGAGTTAGTTAAATTGAATTTAAGGTTATTTCCATATGCATTATTTTTCATAATTTAAGTTCAGCAGCAGTGGAAAAGTTCGTAATGGAAGAAGAGTGATCTGTTTAGCTAATTTCTGTGCGAGATGTAAAATGTTACCCTGGACACTGCCTGTTTTATTTGATTGATTAATTGATTGGTTGGTTGATTTCTTTTCGCTTCAGGTATTGCGATAGCAAAGTCCAAAGGAGCTAAGTATAGATTGGGACCCGAACTGGAAGTGTGGTAAGTATTAGCAATATACTATTATTTATGGTGGATATGGCAAGAAGAAATAGTGTGTGGATTGTTGTGGTAGGGTGGCGTCGCAGGTGGCGTTTATGAATCGTTCACTTCCTGCATGTTATTGCGAAATGCATGTGAAATAGCTGTCAGCAATGTGGCCTCACATCTGCAAGGTTGGGGGTTTGACTCCCGTCTGGCTTGGTATGTGTGGAGTTTGCATACTTTCTCCGTGTCGCGTGGTTTTCCTTCAGGTACTCCGCTTAGCCCCTGCAGTCCGAAGACTCCGTGTCTTTCTGTGACTATGCCCAGGATAGGCGGTTAGAAGGTGGATGGATCTATAAATAAATCTGCATATATTGTAGCTTCAGTTTAACACAGTACAGTCACACTGATAACCAGCTAAAAAGGTTGCTGTTTCAAAAATCCCAAGTAATGCTCCTGGAATGAATTCTTCATGCATTCATTAATCATGGATTTAAGAGATTTTTTTAGCAGCTTTGATATTCTAGCCATAAGATGTGATTGCCGGGTGACTGAGAAGCTCTAATGCAGGGGTCTCCAACTCCGGTCCTGGAGAGCTACTATCCAGTAGGTTTTCTGTCCCATTTGGCTTCTGATGAGCCACACCTGTTCCTGCTATTTACCTGAGAACAGGTGTGGCTCATCAGAAGTCGGGCTAATTCTAAGTCTCCAGGACCGGAGTTGGAGACCCCTGCTCTAACGTGACTTTTTTTGCAAAAACTTGAGAGCAGCACATTCGAAATGAGCCCAGTGGTTTTGGAGAGTGGATAGATTGTAATGATTTTTATTGCACAATGCATAATTTGCAATTGTGTGACTGTCACCATGATTGATTTGACATCTTCTTCCTCAGTGGCTATGGCTGTGCAGATCATTTTTATGAGTCGGACATACTGCTGCACTCCTTTCAGGTGTTAAAGGAGTTACTGGAGTCACCTGTCACTCAGAACATCATCTGTGACGTGGGAATGTGAGTGATCCTGTGAAATTTAATTGTGTGAAATTGAATCTTCACAAACCTGTGACAGCAGATATCTTAATTATGCTTTGTGTTGTTCTTTTAATTCAGGCCTGTTACGCATCGCAATGTCCGCTACAACTGCCGGGTCATATTCCTGAACAAGTGAGTTTCTGAGTTATGAATATCACAATAGCTTTCCTAAAATTGTGTATTAATAAGAAAACACCACATTGATTATCTGAAATGTACATTCACCCACTGACTACTGAATGTGTCACCTAGAGTTTGCTGATATTAACAATGGTTATATCTATAATATATTAATTAATACTTTCTTTTTCTTTTTACTGTGTTTGATGTTTGAGTAATTATACTGTAACATTTCTTTCAGGAAAATTTTGCTGATTCGTCCCAAATTGTCACTAGCCAATTATGGAAACAACAGGGAATTTCGGTGGTTCTCGCCATGGAATAAATCCAGGTGAGCAAAGCCTGATTCCTCGGGGAAAAATTCTAAATAAATTAAACATAGGGTTACACTATTCCACATCATGATATATGAAGTATCCACAAGTAATATTGCGAAAACTATGAAACAAAAAGATGAAATTATCCAAAGTAAACGATAGCCAAATAGAACTTATCTACCAATACAGTCTATCATGCACATTGCGATGACGATGCTGAAACACGCATTTATTGTGTAGCCCTGATTTAAACATAATGCAAACAGGGTAGCACACATCCAAGGTTGGGGGTTCAAACCGTCTCTTATCTCTGGAATTTTCATGGTCTTTCTCTGTTCTGCAGGTTTAGTACTCCACTACTAAATGTGTGCCTGGCTGAATACTTTAACAAAAACAAAAAAAAATGGATAAAATCATTTTATACTAATTTACTCTGTAGGTGTGTGGAGGAATATTTTCTGCCGCGAATGATACAAGACGTGACTGGACAGGTAAGTAACAATTACAGCTACCAGTGACATTAGAGTTATGGAATTCCTGTGCCAGAATCTTTTGTCTTTATAGTTACCTCTTCTCGCCTCTCTCTCTACATTTGAGGAAATTTCAT